TATTGGTGAGTTCCACGAAGGCGCTCCTGTAACTTAGCTTTGCCTGCGCACCTCCCATCACCCACTCTAGCTGATTGCGATAAGTTTACTATTTCTTTTCGACCGCTGTAAGATTAGTCCAGTTAAACCAAATCAACAAATCCGCCTGTATCTTTGCACTTCTTGCGTGGCATTATATTCAACTAAACTCCTAATTTGTAGATTTTATATGCAATAATGACCACTTAATGTTTTGATGTATCAGTGTATCAGTTAGTGACTGGTCATATTGTAGCTATTCATTAATGTCTGGAATTTTACAAAAGGACGTGATTGACAGATGGAACTGCTTAGTTATTCAAGGCTTACCTGCATAAACGATGCCGATTCTCTGTTATTACTAACTCTTCGGTAAAACCGGGGGCAAAAATCCATGGCAAGGGGAACAGGGAAAACCCATAACGGGAATATCATGTCACAATTGCATTGGTTGTTGCTTGACAATGTTTCTATGGTTTGCTGCAAATCGAAGTAAGGCTGACCGGTCGATAATTAATTGCGGACACCCTACTTCTGCTCATATAAAGTGACGTTATCCACGCAGATTTCCAATCAGCTGGTAGACATCTGGTCTCGAAAGATATTGGGAACTGCGTAGAGAGTAGGTTTGCCATCACATGGGCGAGATCCTTCAGCATCTTGAGCGGTAAACGATTAACGACGACACCCTCGTGGAACCAGTCACTCAAAGAGAAAAATGCAATGATTGAGTAATGTGTTCTGAGTGAAGCACCCACAGTTAAGGAGACAGAACAAGCCTCTGAGATTGTCGTTTGAGGTGATTAAATAAGGCACATCCCTATGACAAACAAAGCCAAAAAGATGGCTGGAGCGAAATTTTGGTGCTTGTATACAAATGTCCGGAGCCTTGTCTCTAAACTTTAAAAGTTAAAACAATGCTTTATCGAACTGCTTGCGGATGTGGTGGGAGTAAATGAAAGCTGGCTGACCGATGGCATTATCCGAATACGAAATATATCATGGAGACTGGACCAACTGACAGGGTGGCGGAATATGCGTACATGTGAATGGCGGCCAAATAGACCCTGATATTATAACCAAATATGTTCGCAATACGGAAGCTATTTGGTTGACCATCAAGTTTCTTGGCTCTTCGTGTCTTGATGCCCTCACGGTTCATCGGATACCCAGGAGAGAGCAAATTGCCGACACACACACCTTTTGGAACAAATGAAATAAAGGTATTCAATCGGTTAAATGTCATGTTTGTTGGCAACTTTAATACATTGGACCCAAAATTGTGTTTCCACTAGTTTTTTCTAGGCAAACTATATGACTACCTCCACAGAAGTACAAGAAATAGACAACAAATTCCGACAACGAAGACTATAGCGAGCATCGGAATCGCTGAAAACAGGGATAATGCCAAGTAATTTTGAGTAATTTCGGTCAGTCTATATGCTTATGTAGAAGTGTCCCCTTGATTATATCATGTTTTCAGAAATTCCTACCCGAAACGAATTTGAGAAATTATAAGATTCGAAATCTCCCTGACCGGACCCATGACGGACTGTTGACGCCAACACTCATACTCTGTCATAGCTCCCGCACTGTCAGGCGAGAT